AAAATATTTCCTATTTAGGGTTTATTGTGTTGAATTTTGTTTATGAAGTACATACTACTTAATATTTTGTATTCTACAACCCAAGATAATTTTGTAAGATTGATATTATTAAATGAAGCCTATTTTTGAATAAAATATTTTCATCGATAGCATTAAAATTTAGAAAATTATTTTAGAAATTTGAAAAAATGACAGCGTATATTATTACATCCTTTTAGTTATATTTTGCAGCTCATTACATTTCTTATTATAGTTTTGAATATAACTTATATTATGACGTTAATATCTTACAATTTTACTTTAATTGTATTTAATTGCATTATATTTTGAGTTAGTCTCTTTCACTTCTTATTGCTTTAAGTATTGGGAGGTAAGATTACGAATAAAAGCTTAGTTTTTATACAAGTTCTTTAGTTTTAATATAATATTTAATAAAAATATTAATTTGATGATTTTAGACAGTAATTATAAGCTGTTGTGGGGAAAGTGTTATCGACAATGTCAACCTACAGGCATCATAAAGTAACCAAAGTCAAAATTGACATGTCTTATATATCGACAAATCGAGTTGACATGTCTTATATACTAGGGTATTGGTATTTAATAATCGTAGTGGTAGTTAATTGCATTGCTCACCCACCAGAATTTTTTCTGGGATAGAATTCAATTAAGGAATTATTTTCACTAATATATTCATGGTTGTTTTAGTGAGAAGTCAGGAGAGCTGTATTAAGATCACCAGATTTTTTTTAATGCTGATCGTGAGAGTTGTATTAAGATCATGATTGTGTGAGTGGTTGCTTCTGTGAGGCTATTAGCAGTCGAGTGTGGACAGGCTTCGTTGTGTGTGATTGGGACTGAGAAGTAACAACGCGAAGAGGACAATGTCGCAAATAGCAAGTCAGCTCTTCAGTGTTGATCATCCATCGAAGTTGGCGTGCTGTTGTCGTAGTGGACGTTACTTACGAGGCAGGCGTGTTCAAATCACGTCCAGGCTACCATGGTGTGAAAAGAATTATCGTCAATGGCAATCTTCATTTAACAAAAGGTACCCTAAGATAAAATCGAGTACCATGTCTTATACTGTGAATTGGTATTTAATAATCGTAGTGGTAGTTACGTTACGCTGTAATGATTTTTGACAACCATTTACATCGTTTTCAGTCTTGGCTATAAAGTAGGAAAAGCAACTAAATAGTTTTTCAGTGTTTTAAGTAAAATATGAACATTTTTTATTCGAACTTTTTCGTTTAAAAAGTTCTTTTTTTTTGCAAGAAAGAAAAGGAAAAAAAAGCGTATAAATCAAATATTTAGATTGTTTCGATCATTTCTTTTCCATCAAGTTTTAAAAAAAATTTGAAAAACTCGTTTAAAGCTTGCAAAAATCTCTTTCAGTTGTGTGCATTCCAGTGAAATATGTGTCAAATACTTATTTTTAGTGAAATGCGTGTCATATGCTTGTTATTTATATGATCTTTTTGTTATTTAGTTATGTGATTGCTATTGTCTTATTATTTAGGGAATATTCTTAAAATATTTGATTACTTTAAAATGCGAAATTTTAAGAGTCATTGTGAGATTTATAATTTTAACCTATTAAAAGCTCTTTTTGTAAACCCTTTTTATTGCATGTATTTCAATTCTAAAACTGATTTACTAATTAAATATATAATGATATGAGAGGTAAAAAAAACGTTATTTTAATTACTGAAAAAACATAAAAATGTGATTTTTCTTTTAGAAACCATTTTGCATAAAATTATGTTTTTTATATTGTTTTGTAAAAAATAAGATGTGTGCAGTCAGTTTTTGAATAGCTAATATTTTAAAAAAAAAGAACAGTAAAATGCTCAAAATTATAGGGTTTTTTAAAGCAGAATTTAATACTAAAGAAACATTAGTGTTAGTTTAAATGATATAAAAGCTACTTATATGGTATTAATAAAATGGAAGTAACTATAGCAAATTGTAGTTTTTGCTCACCATGGAATTTTTATTTATTTATGTGACTAGGTCTTTAAATTCAAGCATTTCTATGTGATTTATTTGGTTGTGAATGTTATTTATTTACACCTATTCATTTTTCAGTCAAATGTAGACAGATAAAAAATTCTTATGCACCATTGTCATAAATTCAGTGAACTATAATATTATATAGTCTTATAAGCTAATGAGTAGAAATCGGTCGAATAGCTTTTGAGGTTTCGTAAAAACAAGATTTAACGTTATGGTTTCTTAAGAAAATACAATTGAAGTTCTGAATTTACACACTATGAGCAACGTTTGCAAAATAAAAGATTTTTTGAAAGCCCAAAAGTGGTGTTCGCCATTCCTAAAAAAATATTTTAACATGTAAAAGGACATTATGGCGTTTTAAGGACTTTTACAACTACACATATCAATAAGCATTTTTTTATGCAGAAATTGTCGAGAAATCACAGGAGAGATTGCCTACACTGAGAAAAAAAAGTGTTGTAAAACTACCAGAAAATGTTTAAATTTGCTATGTTTCTGGCTCTATTGGAACACTAAATTCTCACTAAAAGCTCGAAGAGCTTCGGTAGTGATTTTGGTTAAACTAACCAAAACATGTTTCGTTAAACTAACCAAAACATGTTTGGCTAAGCTAACCAAAACATGTAATGTTATAATATGTGACAAAATTTAGTAACTCTGGCAGAATATGGTAGTTTTATCATGATTTCTTAAAGTATGGCATAAAAACCATTTATTCGGTTGTGACCAGACTTTCTTGTAAGCCGTTAGCATATTAACGGAAAGATTGTCAGGTGAATGGTTTATAAATACCATATATTTTTGTTTTATTACTATAAATATGTTTTTTTCTTCTCTCTTTTTTTATAAAAAAGTCAGTAATGCCATTAAGATACAGTACTGCAATTTTACCAGAATATTTTTCTCCGTGTAGAATGCAATATTATGAGAAAGTTCATTAATTAATTAATTAATTTATTTATTTTATTTGTATATTTCTATTTATATATTTTCATTTTTTATTTATTTATTTGTCTAATTAACACCACTTCATAAATTTAAATTTAACAATTTTTAACGATTGCAAAATTTGAGTTATATGCAACGAAGAATAATAAATATTTTAATCTAAAATTGTAACGAATTGAATCATATTTACACACTACATATTATTGCGTAGCAAAATTTTTTAGCGTCAGCATCATTTAAAGTAATACGCATTATGCTAATGTACAAAATTTTATCTAATTCCTTGCACAAGTAATAAACAAATATAAGCACCTAAAATAAAAACACTAGGAAGGTCATTAACTGTTTTGAAGGTAGAAATATTTCATTGTCTTGCGTAATTTCAATTTGCGTAATAATTAATTGTCCATTGACGTTTCGTTAATTCATGTATTTTTTTACATATATATTGTGATTTTTCAATCCAATTTTCCAGTTTTAGTAATTGTTTTAGTTATTTCTTAAAGAATTTAAATTAAAACGCATTACGCTTAAATTGTTACGTTTTTTTACGATGTTCTTTTATTTCATTTGTGTTTCATTTCATGGTTCATTTGTATGATACCAAAATCATCACTTTTATTTAATTTGAAAATTTCCCGCATCTTCTTTAAGTTTATAATCGAAGTTATCTACTAAACTATCATACAAAAAAGAAAAAAAATCTGAATTGTTAAATTAGAACGAAGAAAATAATTAATTATTTTATAGATGTAAAACAAGAGTTATGAAACAGAAATATATTGACAGTAACGAACTTGGTTTCTTAAAATTTCTAAAGTGAATATCACAAGTCTGTCTCTATTTTAATACCAACTGTTCAATTTTATTTTTGCTCAATATATTTAGATAGAAAAGTAAAATGTTAAATCTATTTATGAATTTTTTTAAATTTCGTCGCTTTGTAAATTCAACCGAATAAATGTATTTATTTGCCGTGCTCTAAGGCATTATGATAAAATTATCAAATTTCAGCATATTTACCGAATCTTATCACACAATATTAAACCATATTTTGTTGTTAATTTGTCGTTAGTAAAGCATTTCGATAAAAATTGCTGTGCTTTCTGGTGTTCTCATAGAGCCAAGAACTTGGTATTTTATCACATTTTCGACCTTGCTTTCTTCTTAGTGTAATTTGTGTTTATGTCTTTATCAAAGTTATAAAGCAATATAATTTGAACATGGCGAAATATTTTGTTTGTTTAATACAATACTTTTTGGAGAATTTTTCACAGTAAAAGTGTTGAATTAAATTTTTTGCTGTTGGTTATTTGTTGTTATTTTTTAGAATAACATAATGCTTTCCATAATTTAATGAATAAAAAAACAAATATTTAGAATGGTTACTGTTTTATATTCGGAATTTGCATTTAAAATGTTTTAACTGAAATTTACATTTTTAATTATTATATTAAAGATTTTTCTCACTTAGGGATTGCATTTAAAAATTATGCACACGAAATTTGCTTTTGAATATCTATCTTTTTATCCATGCGATTAAATAATTATGTAAGTTTTTTTTAAATTCTAATTTCACATTCGTAATTTCAGTATTTATATATTTCATTTTAAATTGTACTTTTACCCAAAATTTTTGTTTAAATTTTGTATTTCGAATCCGTTTATGAAAAGTACTTCATTGTTTTTTCATTTTTATTTCGAGAAAAAAAAATTGGTACGATAATAATAATGATACAATAACAGCATGATCAATATATTTGTATTATTAATTATCATTAAAAATTAACATGTTGCAAGAACTGTTGAATAAATTACAGATATGTAATCATTTGCTTTTGAAATTTTTTATTCAATACATTTATAGAAATCAAATAGAATTAACGGGACTTTTTTGTTGAAATATAGTTTAAAGGATAGAGCTCTTTAAAATAAAATGAATTTATTATGTTTAAATAAATATTTAATAGATATTATTATTTATTTTTTAATTAATAATTGAGAAGGTGATGGAAGTAGCAAAGGATGAACCTTTCATCGAAGAGGTGATTCGATTTCAAAATTATCGAATCACCTCAGTATGTAAGATAACATAAAATTTTGTTTACTACGTACTATATTTTTTTTTATTCTACGTAAACAGACAAGAGTGAATTATTCATGTTTTCAAACTTTTAGAGATTAGTTTATTTTCTAAATGAATCACACGTGGCGTTTGTAAATGCTATTTTTAGTGTCATAATTCGGCGGGAAATAAAAGATAATGAAGCAAAGCTGGTCATTACCATTAGAATTGTCAGATATGATTGCATAATAATAATGAGCCAACAATTTTATTTTAAAACGTATCAGAACAAAGTCGTTTATTTGTAAATAAACATGTTTGATCATGGGAAGTGTGCGTTTCTGGTAATGAAATTCCTTTCTGATGTAAGTTCACGGTTAATAATGTTTAATTAATTCGTAATCCTAATTCGTTATCTGATCTTTATCTGAAACTGATTATAATTAAAACTACGGGAAAAAAAGCTGAATTACATTTAAACTTATAATATTCATAGCAGAAGGTTTGTTTTACATTCTGTAATTTAGAATTACTTTCATGAATTCAAAAATACTTCATAATGGAGAGAGTAAAATATGATTGTTGCTGTTATTCTTTGCTGGCATTAAATATAATTGATTTCGAAGGAAGATGCCAGAACTATTTGTCTTCAAGAGCCCCACACATGGAATGGGCCTTATTGTCTTTACGACAACTGGGACAAAAATGCAAACTGAAGACTGACAGAAATGGCGTTGAGTACGAAATTTCACATCATGTCAACTGTTTTTTGAAAGATCTCTCTGCAAGCCTAACAATGGAACTAAACACCCTCAGTTCGTTGACAAAATTGAAATATTTGTACTTCAAACGAAAGTTGACGAGTATCTTGAAAGGTAACTTTTTTAATGACTATTTGTGTTTAATGAGGAAAAAAATTCGAGCTTGCACAACTTCGATGGAAGGAGAAGAACTTGTAAAGAAGTTTATAAACGTTTGTAAAACACTTAAACTACCTGTTGAGCTGTCAGGAGAGGATGTTGAACAGTATGAGTTTATGGCTGAACTGTTGAACTTTTGCAACACTACTAAAATAAAAAATTCTGGTTTGGTCATTTCTCTTCTTAAAATGACTATTGATAGATGTGGAATAGCCCCGTTTGATTCTCTTTATGTTCGTCAACCACTATATCCTGAAGATTTTTTGGAATACATTCTAGAACATGTAAGGAAAGAGAAATTCGATATGAGCACATATTGTCTGCACCACCCAAGAACATTATGGGAGTATTCAAGAAATTTTAGTGTCATTAACGCTGTTTCGTTTGGAAATATTCAAAGGGTTAAAACCCTCTTGCAGTATGGATTCGAAGTTTTTCCCAATGTTGAGTTGAGAAGAAGTAGTCATGGGTTTCCTTACATGTAAGTTACTTTTTTAATAACTCAAATTGTATAACTGATTTCTATGAGGTTTTTACCTGGTTTCGTATTAGGTTTCTGATGTGATGTAGAAACCGTGATTACACATTAGCCACAATATAATTGAGAAATAATATCTAATTTTATTTCAGAACAAGTTTATAAAACTTTCTTACGTGTATGTCAACTTTTAAATTACTCAAATTGTACAACTAAATTACTCAAATTGTATAACTAATTTCTGTGAGGTTCTTCATACTTACAATAATATATTTGTTTCAGAATTACTTTATTTATCAAACCAGGTTATTTTGATAGGTTCTCTTTCAATAAAAATAGATAAGAATGTAATCTGAATAAAAATTAATGTCTATTATTTCCAATAAACACCAATATGTTTTAAAGTTTAGTTTTAGGATTGAAATTTATTTGGAAAACGTAATTTATTGAAATCATAATTAGAATTTAAGAACCAGATTTAGAATCATTTATTCAACGTAGAATAATTTGAATAAATTTTTCTAATAATGTCTATTTAATTTCAAAGAGCTATAATGTTTATCAAATTCTGCTTGATATACGGATAAACTTTAAAAAAATTCTTAAAAAGCAAAGACGCTTCTAAATGTTTTTTTATATTTTTGTAAGAAAAAAAATAATTATGTAACTTTTAATAAAAAATCTATTTACATTTAGTTTCTAGAGAAAATATTTCTTTCATAAACCTTTTACTTTGGTTTAGTCAAATCAAATTTAAAACATGACAAATTCTTCGAAATAAAACAAAATTAAATTGCATGATTATATTGATTTTGAAATGTTTTAAGGACTTTACTTTAGTACTTTTCACAGTTATCAAAATTCCGTTAAGTGTTATTTTATTTCTAATTTTGAACAGAATGAATACATTATTTGTATCAGTATGTCACAAATTTAATAGGACTAATGATAAATATCATATCTTAAGATCTATATCATATCATATCTTATATTATGTATATATATGTACATGCAAAGACAATTAAAATTTCAATCATCACGAGTTTGAAATAAATGAATTATGATTAGTTTTGAATTTTAACACTTCGAAAAGAATGTGTAGCAATTTTACATAAATAGAGTATGTTATTTTAGAAAAATAAAAAAAAAATTAAAGATTGCATGATTTTTAAGATATTCAATTGTTTCAATTGTTTCTCTTAAATTTTGTTTACTTACTGATTTATCAAGCATAGCAATTTCTGTGCCCCTAATCTCCTGAAAATATACAACTATTTTGTTTGCTTCTTTTATTTAATTGATTTCCAGGTTCAAATATATTTTAAGCAGAAATATTATACATAAATTTTCAGGTATTCTTAAGGAAATTTTATTAATTTATATGTGTGAAAATTTCTATACAACAAGACATTACAATTAAAAATGTTTAAGAGGGATGATTATCTATTGTCTGAAATAGAATTTTCATTAAAAGCAAAAATGTTATAAAATAGAAACTAATAAAATTTTTGGTAGATTATTTTAGAATAAAAGTATTGAGTTAGGCGAAATTAAAGCTAACTTGCTCTTCGTGGTACTCTCAGAAAAATAGGTTCGTTTGAAACTAATATCGAGCAAATTTGCCACGTCATTTAACTGTTAATTTAATCATGTTTTCGTTCAATTTGGACCATGGTATAGGGCAATCAATTTTAAGTTTGTAACCACGCTCTTTGCTCAGTACTATAGTTCAACTTAACTATCTTAAAGTTATAAAAATTCAGATGATATTGTAATCAAACGTAACACTTCACTTAACCCAAACGGCCACATTTGACTGCACGTATTATAACATGCTTTTTAGGTAATTTACCGTGATTTTCTAATGGAACCATATTGCTTCACACTTCTTAACTTGTAAATGTGCACATTGTGGGCCCCTTAACTTGTCTATAATAACAAAAAAATTCTAACAATGAAAGATAATATAATTAATTAAAAATGCATCAGAATAAATTATTTAGTTATTTTAATGAATTATATTTATTTATTTTTAGTGATGATATCCTACCAACTCGTTATCTAATGGTACTACGGATGATGTGTTGCATCCGTTCCGTGAATTTGTTTCTTGTGCATTCTCCAAGCGCTTCTTCAAACAGACTGTATATTGCATCAGACGAGCAGAAACAGTGTTTTTATCTACTTTGGCAAGCGATCCAGGATCCATATGTAAAACACGCAGAAATGCTTTCTGCCATATTTGCTGAATATCTTATTTTAGCGAAACATAACGTTTTAAATCCGATGAGGTATGAAAAGAACGTTAAGTTTAGTATGATGTATGAACGATGTTTTACTGATTTGGCTTCAGGACAAAAGGAACCAAGATCACTCATGCATTTAAGCAGATATGCAATTCGAGACAGACTAAAGGAATCGTGGAATCTTCCTCATGGTATTTTTCAATTGCCAGTTCCAAAACGATTGCATGAATATCTTAATCTAGAGAGCGATTAGAGATTATATATTAAAGGTTATTTTCAATTGCTTTCCTTAATTCGAATTGACAAGAGTCGTAATTTAAAGAACGGTTGAAAATGCTATTCTAAAGACTGTATGCTATATTTATGGAAAACTTGTACAACGTTTGTAAATATGTAATTCATCTAAGAGAATTTTTCCTTCTTATTTATTTACCACATAATTAAAGTTGTTATTAAAAGTAAATAGAGCGTTGAAAAAATAAAAATGCTTGCATTGAGTCTTGTACATAGGCATTGTTTAACAATGTGTGTTGGAAGAACAAACAGATAAATGCATGACGAAGCTAAAATGTAGAAGCAAAAACATGAATAGTCAAACACTTAAATTTAGAAAAAGCTAACCTAAAATGTAGAATAATTGTAATAAATTTCAGAATTCCCAATTAACTTTTGTTTAAGATCAGAATTTTTTCGTTTAGAACTCATTTAAAATTCTCAGACATATATTTTTTAGAAAAATATTTCATGTAATACACTAAATTCTAACATAATTGCTTATGGTACTATGAATAATATGATTATTTACCTGGTAGCAATACTCTAAAGTGAAAAACAGTTGTCTAAACAGTGCGTACTAAAAACAATGGCAGCAATACTCTAAAAATCCATTATTTTTTTGCCACACTTATAAGCAATGATAAAAAAATTCGATATTCGAAGTTATTTGAAAAAGAAATTACTTTTGCGCAACAGATATAGATAAAAATATATGAGTAATTGTATCATTTTTAAGAAATTTTATCAGAACTACTTTTTTTCTAGTAAGGTCATGTTAACAAATTTAAGGGATTGGATTTAATTGCAAAAAAATTATTTAGTTTTTTACCTTAAATTATTTAATTTTTTAACAGTTTTTTGGGGGAGGATTTCTAAAAAAAATTGCCTTTTCTAAAGACTCGGATGCAAATTTGAACTTCAGTACTTATAAATAACCAAATTTATTAATTCTGCTAGCATAAATTCAAGCAAACTCGATGAGAAATTGTTTAATGAACATGCGCATAATGCACTAGAGAAAATAGCTCCCCAGTGTCAGCCTCTCTCCTTGGCCCGATGATAAACTTTACTATTATCGACGTATATGTAAACAAATTCCTTCATTGGGATTTTTTTCTATTTAAAAAATTTATCAGATGGTGGCAAAACCATAAGGGAAAAAATAGCTTATCATCGACATTTATAAAATCAATGAATTTGGTATGAAGTATACTTCAAATAGCCTCACAGGGTTAAGAATCATTGTTGTAATACTGGATCTTTCTTTTTTAAAGTTATCTATTTTTTAATGAATTTTTTATCAATTTTCTATCAAATATAATATTTTTAATGGAAACTTTTTTTTTTTTTTACAGCTTTAATTCTAAACTAAAGCAGTCATTTTTGAAAATTATATATTTAGAGCATGGAAAAAATATTTATTATTGTAGATGTAAATTATTTATGGCTATAATTGTGAAATATCTGTAATTATAAATGTGAAATTGTAATTACCATTCGTGTGAAAAATATGATTCGCAGTACTTTGAATTATTAATTTCCTGTATCAATTATCATGTACAAATATCATGATGCAATATGCCGTTTTATCAATTGTGAAAAGAATCTAACTTTGATGAAGTAGAGCAGAGAATGTTAGTTTTAAATTTATTTAACAATTTATGACAAAATATAACCATATGTACTTAATACCTGTGATATTTTTTTGTTCATTATTAGTTATCAACTTTACCTGCTCATTTTGATATTTATCAGTTAGTTTCATTTATTTATTTTATCTGACAGTTGTGTGATATTTTACATCAAATCATTTTTTTATTTATTCATTACTATATTAGGCTGCAACTTACAGATTTTATACATCTTCATGTATTTTTGTATTTTATATCTATTTTTATAAAAATATATACCTTCATTTTTCACTTATCAATGTATTATACTTTCTACTGTATTTATTTATGATTTTGAAACATGAAAAATAAATAAAATGAATTAATGTAATTTGCATATTTTCCCAAAAATAACATCACCACAAAAACTTCTTAAAAAATAAAAGGCGCAAATAGTAGCTCATGCACACAATGTAAATGCACTTTGAAGTAAAGCTGCCATGCGTTTAATAGTAACAAAGACTCTAAAATTCTCATACTGAAATTTAATTATTTTAAACTTTAAAGAAAGTGATTTCATTTCTAATTTTTCTGAATTATACTAGACTAAAAATTTCGTGATCTCTAAGAGTGGGAAAGTCAAAAACCATACTATTTTTACAGTTTAATCGAAATAATATCGATATTAACATTTTAAAAGTTGTATGATATTTATTTACTTGAAAACACAGTCACTCTAAATAGCATAGATATATTTGCTTTTTTTATTACTGCTTTCAAAATGCTGTCATGCCTTTAATATTAACAAAAACTTTAAAATTCATATAAAAAATTTAATTATTTTTAATTTAAAAAAAAGTGATTTCATTTCTAATTTTTTCTGAATTATACTACACTAAATATTTCGTGATCTTTAAGGGGTGGAAAGTCAAAAACCATACTATTTTTGTGAAATCAAAAAACTCTTATATATATATATATATATATGCCTATTCGTATGAGAATATTGTGGGTTTGTTTTCTTTAAAAAAAAATGCAAATTTCTAAAANCCATCTATTAGGTCATATATATAATATTTCGATATAAATTTGTTTGTGAACGATAAATATTAGGGAATTAACTGGAATTTCCCTATGCAAATTCTGCCTAAAAACGTTTTGTTTCATTTAAAAAAGAAACATAATTTTTTTCTCCACAAAGTACTTTATTGAAAAGTCAAAAAGTATTAACATTTCAAAATAAAAAATGTACATTTACAACAAAATACTTGATGCGTGTTGCTACTGCTGTTGTTGTATGATGTTACAGTGTATTTAATACAATATAATTTTGCCAAATGCTTCAAAATGCCATTTTCATAGCTAAAATACAAAGAAAATGCATTTAAAAGTATTATATTATTATATGTCTATATATATATATATATATATATATATAAATTTGACAATTGATTACTTTATTGGATAGACATCATAGTAAACTCTCAGAAAAAGGCTTCAACATTGAACTATAACATAGGTACTACTTCTAGCTAATGTAAATGTTTTATAGGTAGTTTTCTATAAAAAATGTACATTAATTAAACACATAATTTGTATTTCACTTAAAGTGAACTTAAAAAGCTTAAAACACTGCTGTTGCTATTGACAGAAAATGAGTTTGATGTAAATAATGGGTTTGATAGGGAAAATCAAATCAACTTGACAACTTTTGATTACTTTATTAGATAGACATCAAAATACACTCTCAGAAAAAAATATTTAAGCATTGAACTATAGCATAGGTACCCTCTACTGACTACTCTATTACATAGGTACTACTTCCAGCTTCTGTAAATTTTTTAGAGGTAGTTTTCCATAAAAAATGCACATTAATTAAATACATAATTTTTATTTTACTTAAAGAGAACTTTAAAAAGTTTAAAACTGTACTGCTATTATAGACAGAAAATGAATTTGATGTAAATAATGGGTTTGATAGGGAAAATTATATCGACTTGACAATTTTTTATTACTTTATTAGATAGACATCATTGTACACTCTCACTCTCATAAAACCCTCTACCATAAGACAGTATAAATTTGTTGAAACCTTAAAAAATGTGAAATTGAACAGTGTTTCAGTAGAAGTTGAACCATATTATTGTTAAATTAAATTTAAAAAACATGCTGTTGAGGTCCAACTTTGTATCATATTATGGATGCAGCAAAATTAAGTGATATTATGCTTCAACATGTCCAAAAATGTCTAATTTTATATGTATTTTGATTAATAAGTTGGAAGAGGAAACAAATGTGATGTGATTTCAAGGTTTTCCATCTATTAGGTCCTTGTTTCTCCATTTTTTTACTTCATTTCATAACTTATTAGGAACAAAGCATGATTTTTTAACAATTCATTTCACTTACTTATGTTCTATATAACCTTCCACAGCTTTATGCAGAGACACGGTGATCAAAACTTTTTTTTCTTAACAACCTTGTCTTTTTTATTATTTAGCAAACTAATCGCATAAAAATAATTCTTATTGTTGAATCTTTAGACAACCTGAGATAAAGTTACTATAAAATTTAAAAAACTGACAATGTGTTATGAAAAATCAAATAATGGTTTTGCTAACAGCTTCCTTAATAATTTTTATTGCCTAAAAATGAATTCGAAAATTTAAAGTTTTAAATTTTTGACAAACTGAATTATAGTAAAAATCAACTTACCTCTAAACATAAAAGTGACTTAATAAGTGTATACAATGTTATACAGTACAATACAGTTCGGATAGTATTATAATGTTATAATAGTTACTAATCAAAAAGAAGCTTATTATCTTAAAAAAAATTTTTTAAATAGGATTTATACAGTTAGTTGAAACTGAGCCAATTCCCCCCTATATTGTTTAAACTAATAAACGCAAAACATATATTCAAAAAGGAATAAAGAAAAAGCTTGACTAATGCAAAAAAATTATAAATTTTTACCCAGCAATCAACAATCCAGATATAACCAGGAGAAATACCAAAGTGTATCAGAAAGCTGTTGTGCATGCCTGTAAAATAATATAAGAATTAAAATAATACAAAACGAGAGGATATATTTCTTTTAATGTCTTTTAAAACTAAAAAAAAGAAAAAAATGTACCAAATAAGTTAAGGCGAAATTAGCAAGTCCATTGATCTGGGAGTAATAAAATTTGACTTGGACTACAATAAAATAAATTATCAGCGGACCCCTAGAGCAGCAACTGATGCAAAAGAATAGTAAGCTATTTTGGGTTTTTGATTTTGTGTTTTTGTCAAAAAATAATTTATTTAATCACTATTATTCAGTCTCTAAATTGTAATTTTTTACTCAACAATTCATATTAGTAACTTTTTAAAAAAACTGAACTTGCAATATTGTTTTGTTGCTGGTCCCTTAGACCGGTGACTTAATTTTCTCAATTTCTATCCCTGTTCTGCTTTAAAAATAAATAAATTAAAATACTACAAAATGGATGATTTGCAAAACATGAAGCCAGTGTAGCACACATTACATAACATTAACCTTTTACAAGCAAACAGCCACTTTTTGAGCAATCCTGTTCATAGTTTTTGCAAAACATCATAATTCTTCACTCTGTAATTTTTTTCAATATTTAAAATAATAATAAAAAATATCAAAGATACAACAGTACATATTAAATATTATTCTCAAATTCCAAATACGGATTTTAATTCTAATTCAACTTTTAAAATTTTCATTCAATGAAAGAGTTGAATAAAAAAATTCCGTTTGCAAAATGCCATATATTTTTTATAATAAATAAAAATCTGTCATAAAAGTCTTTTAAACACTAAATTGTTTAATTGCATAAAATGAATAAAGGTGTACTCTCTATATTTTAAATCCATTGAACAATTTTAACTTTTAAACATACTGTAACAGTTCGAAATTTCATTCATTTTCTAATATAAAATACTATTATCCTAGTTAAAAAAATCTTGATTGTAAAATTTTAGTTGAAATCAATGAATGTACAATTAGTATTATCATTTTATGACAAAAAGTAGTCTATTCTCCTTGAATACAGCAAAGGATTAAAAGACTTACTCTCATTGAAGGTCTATTGTCTTAGTCTTGTTCTTCATAGGAAAAGTAAGCTAATGGCAATATGCAGAATGTGTAGAAGAATATTATACTATATAAGGCTGAAAATCAAAAAGGAGTTAACTATATTATGATAACTTTCAAAGCTATATTCATTTTACTTGTATCTTTTCTTTTTTCTGAATAACTATTTTTGCAATATGACAGGTTAACGCTAAGTTTTCAATTGAACCCTTGACAATTGGACATGGATCAAGGGTCTCTATTACAAAGAAAAAAGTACAATGAGATCTGCAAGTTCAATTCAAAATCCTAAGTTAGAAAGCATTTCAGAATGAAAATAGTTTTTAATATTCCTTGACAAAAAAGAATTTTTACCTTAATTCTAAAACAAATTCTACCTAATAAGATATTTTTACTAAATATAGTAATGAATCTATATACTGAAAATATATGGAGAAATAAATTAAAAAAATAAAAACATTTTCAAGCACGTATGATGCTTATAAAATAGACAGAAATAATACGATGAAAATTTGAAAGTATTTGAAGTAGCTGTTATGAAAAATTTTGCTTTCTGTTGTGATAAAATTTAAATTAATTTCACAATTTAAATAATGAAAAAAAACATTTCTACAGAATGATTCTTACTCTTCACTAGCAAATTACTTGAGATAAACAATTAATCTGGTTTTTATATTTAACTGCAATGTTAATTTGAGGACCAAATTTTATTTATAAAATATATTTTTTTCAGAAAGTGTTTTAAAAATGAGTGGCATATAAATAGAATTTTTCACTCAAATTACACAGAGGAAAAAGAACAACAACTAATTTCATGCTTATTATTTTTAATTTTGATTCCATTTGTTTCAAATTATCAAAATATTTGTCGACTTGCTTTGGTATCACTGGTCTAATGTCATGCTTAAATTACATGAACAATTGTTTCATTATTGAATTATCAATAATATCATTATAATATAATTTTCAGGAATATCATCATTGAAAATCAAGCTTCAGTAGATATAAAAATAGCTGCATTTTTTATTACCCACGTTGCTTTCAATATTATAAGAAAGTACTTATAATACTTTCCTGTTTATCAAAAAAATAATTTTGATTAAATTATGAAACGATGATTGGGAACAAAAATTAATTTCAGAAATGTTGGAAGTTACATGGTGTGTTCCAATAGGAGAATGCTTGGCTAATTTAAAATGAAAAAAAAACTTTTCGTCCGCTAAAATATTATGAATAAAAAATTTTGGTATTTTGTGTACCATAGAATAAAATTTATCGAAAAATTATTTAACAATACTTAAAATATAGACCGTTTTTCCCCCTCTACAGTCCAAGTCGAAATATCCTATATTTTAAGAATTTTTACTAGTGTTTATGCTACAAATAATGTAAACTCCATAATCAAAGAGTAAAAAAATAAACAAAATATCATAAGCTAAGATAATGCAAAAAAGTAGTTCCCTTACTGTCAAATTCCACGCCTTTTGTTTACTGTATCATGCAGCGCATACGCTCATTTTTCTGATAATAATAATTTTGAATATATTGTTGACAACTTTTAAATTTCAAAGAAAATATAGACAAATTTTTTTATTAATCAGTTATGCGCTAGTAAAAATAAAAATAAAAATCAACGTTTATTATTTTTTAGCTATTTTCTCTAATACATTTCAGAATATTCCAGAAGCATATCAAATTGCGCATGCGCAAATTTTTCTGATTGATTATGTTGATTATGATGCAACTTTTGACATACACTTTCTTTTATTTTTCTATTATATGCTTCTGAAAAGAACTTCTTTTCATCTTTTTTTAGTACTTTCATCTTTTTTTATCACTTTCATCTAGTACTTATATCGAGGCTAAACATCGCAGGTAAGTATTACGTTATAAGTTTCTGTTTATGATTCCTGATAGGCATACTGATATGCTTATGATTACTGATATGATATGCTTAGCGGCATTTATTAGAATGTTTTCGTTCCATAGTAATTCATGTGCATAATTGCATATTTTTATAGTTTAATCATCCAAATTGAAAACGTTGGTGAATTTTCCGATTATTATCGTCACATAAAGTTTATAGTTTAGGGTGTATTCGGTATGCAATAAAATATTATGCTTTGGTTATTTTAAACACATAATGTTTATTATTTTACTTAATTTTAAAGACAGTAATTAAAGTTCGTATGAAGATAATAATTCTTATTCATTACATTCATGGTTAATTTGGAAATTTATCTTTTCACCTGGTATTACTTATTTTGTTCATAAAATGTGTAAGTATGATATTTTTAAAAACATTACCTCTTATATGTGAATGTGTTTATTACTTTCGGAATAAAAAATATTAATTTCGAAAAAATTAAAGCTTTTATATGAGAAATTGTTAAAAAAATTGCATTTTGCTTGAATAGATAATTTAATGTAAACAAACTGTCTTTCATTTTAAGATTCGAGTTTAAATTATAAACAAAAAATATTGTTGAAATACTTGAATGCTTTATAAATATTGACCAAAAATGTGATTTTCTATTTCAATATAATATTATCCACCATTTTCAATAAAATGATTCGTCTACAAAGTGATTTACATGATTTTACAATCACTATTAAAAATACTTTGAAGTTTCTTCAATTAATTTCTTTTCTAAAACAAAAGGGCTCTTAAAATTTATTAACTTTTATATTTTACTCTTTATTTTTGATTGACATAAGTAAATTTACATTTCGAGTTTAAAATGTATGTTACACATGTTTTAAATTCTAAATTCTATGTATGTGGGCTGTACTATATCTGTCGAAAATACATTTAAATACTCCGATTAAAAAATTTGCAATGTTTAAAAATGAAACGTCATTTTAGTGAATGTATAATTAATATAAATTAATGTGAAATTTTAAAAAATCCTCGCGATTTTTAAAAATTTTAAATACATTTTTTTTATCAGAGTTATTTATTTATGAGTGTTATTTATTAGGAGTATGATAATATAAATACTTGATGATATAAGGAAAGTGCTGGTGCAGCACAAAAATTTTGGTGGCCAAAATAAATAAATTCATTCCGCAATTTCAAAAAGAAAAAATATCTAAGAAGCAGGGTTTTTTACTTTTTTGATTTAAATCGGATTTTTTGGATTTTTATTCAAATACACTGTAAGAACTTTGATTTTTTAATTAAAAACACTTTATAAATGCTTAATAAAACTTAAATTAATATTAAAACTATATTAGAACAATATTTTAGAAGATCTAACTGCCTAAAACAATTTTTTATTATAATATATAGCTTTGAATGCACAGCAACCATTTTGAAATAAATGCATGATTGAAATTTAAATACTAGATGAAATAGAGAATTTAATGAATACTTTAACTATTAAAACAAAGTTTCATTTAGCAAACCATAATTTTAATTTAAAATTGTGATTTCTTTTCTTTTCTTTTTCTCTTGATTTTTAAAATGACAAAATAAATGTAACAGATTGTGTTTATAAATGTAGTCATTCATCAAAAAATAAATAAATATTTAATCTATATATTTTTATAGTAAAACATTAATTTTTAATCCCATATCAAAATACGTAGAAGAGTTAAGCTAAAAAAAAATTTAAAAAATCTACGTACCCATTGGAATTGTTTTTCACAAAATTTCTGTATAGAAAATCTGTAATGAAATAGAAAGTCTGACAAAGATACTGTAAACATGCACCCTGTTACCAGTTAATATCCACACTGCTTTAAATAGACTTTGAAAGAGTTTTAAGGGGAAGAACGACACTATATCAGGAAAAAAATATCTGAATTTATCAGCATTTTTTTCTATTTTTGGTATATTAGGGTAATTTCTTTTTAATAAAACTTCAAGCTTTAAAAATATACATTTTCCACCAAAAAAAATATAATCTAGATTTTAATTCCATGCTTTTTCAATCAAAAAAATAGAATTTTAATTAACATAATTTGTATTTTTTTGTGAAAAAAATTCCTTTTTATTAATTATTTTCTACATCTATGCAAGTCTATATTAAGGCAGCATTGAATGTTTAATTCATGTTAATGTTATTTTCAATTTCAAGAATCAAAAGATTTTTAAAAATGTAATTTCAAATGTGTTGGAGTTTATCACACATCAAGAAAGAAAGTAATTTCGTTAACTAAAATTAATTTATGCAGCACTTCATTTAAAATAAATTTTAAGACTAAGAAAAGAAAATAATTAAAGTATCAATAACTTAAAACACTGTTTTTTTAACTCTTCAAATCAATATACATATAAAAATCAGTTGATTTAAATCATGATTTAAATCGTGATTTAAATGAAGCTGATTTAAATCAACAAACCCTGCTAAGACCCTGCCCTGCTACCCTTTATGAAAAGGCGCCATATCCTTGAGACTACGCTGCTATTTTATTCAAATGCCTAATTTCTGATGCAATGATTTTGATTGGCACCCTTTCTGAAAAAAAGCGTCGAATCCCTTTGTGGTAAATCAAAGTTTGAATGGCATCTTTAAATAAGTTTTTTAAAAAAACTTACACCAGGTATGGGACTTTTAAAAGAAATAATAATAAAAGTACAAATAAAATATTAACATACCTTTATTGACCCTCGTCCCCTCTGCTTTTCTCATCAGGGAGTTGGGACCCAGCAATGCTAGCATTTGACGAGGGTAAATGGTACAAAAATCTCGGTAGACATCATAGAAACATAATAAACACATTTTCAATAACTTCAGAGCTATTAAAAATAACGATAAGTTTGAACTTGATATTTTTATCCATATGGTAAAAGCTTTCTTTTCTTAAACTATTAAGCGAAAAACTTTTCTCGCGTTTTTTCAATATATCCCATTATTCTAACTTTCCACGTCTACATTCGAAAAGACTATAGTAATGCTCTGTTTTCTCCTTGACATACGTCACATCTTGGTTAAAGAAAAAATAGAAAAAAAAGTCCTGCATCGTTTCATTTTACTGAGACTGGAATTGCGATATAGGGAATGCGTCACCGTTCTAAAAAAGTTACGGGCTGACAGACGAATCTGACAGATGAATGTCATAAAACACGATACGAATTCAAACTTTCTCGAGAGGAGAAAAATATTTTGAGGTCTTTCTACCAGGGAAGAGATGGCAAATAAATTTCAGAATACTTATTATGTTCTAAATACCGAATACTTCTTCAATAGGAGTCAACAACTTTTGAAACATTCCACCAAAACTATACATTCTAAAGTTATCCCCTCCTTATAGGGCTCTCTTATCATCTAATAGCAGTAATAATTTTCGATCATATTTTATTACACATTTTGTATGGTAAAATGAAAAAAAAATCTGTCAAACTCCTATTTTAAAATATATGAATTTTCATTACTTTAAAACTGAACTTTTAAGTTCAACTTTTACATCATGGTAAAATGACTTTTTCAGAAATAAATAGTAAAATGTTTTTTTTTTTTTTTTTTTTTTTTTTTTTTTTTAATAANTTTTTTTTTTTTTTTTTTTTTTTTTTTTTTTTTGGTTCGAGGAAGGGTAAATTTTTAAATACCTCTGGAATTATTAAAAGAAAAGACACTGCTAAGGTTGAGAGCTACTGCTTAAATTGAAATATATATGCTGGTTGAGATTTTCTGACTTTCTTGCTTCTCAAATACTTAAATAAATGAGACTTGAGCTTTAAATATTATTTTTTATCACATTGTTGATGATTTTTTTATCACATTGTTGAGGTAAGCTATATTGCAGGCCCATCAGGCAATTCTAGGACTATTTTATCTTCATATTTTGTGGTTATTTGTTTAATTTCACTTACAGGTTATTTTTTTGTTGTTTTCTTGAAAGCTTTGTAGTCATTTTTAGTATTACATTCAAACTCATTGAAAAAGCTATCTTTTCTATTTTTCGTGTACTTGAAATTCTTTTTTATTAACTTATTACTAGAAAGATTTATCAAAAGTGTTGTCATTATTAATTATTATTACTATGATAAATTTGTTGAATATATAAACATTTTTTTAATCCTTTGCTCTAAAACTATTGATTGAGTAATATTTTTTTAAACTCTATAATCAAGCTCTGCAATTATTTTAAAGATGTAGTTTTAAATTAGCTCAATACATTAGTTAGTTAACAGCGTCTTAGATTTCCCACAAACAATTTTAATAATCCATAAATTAACATTTTCCTCTGTATATTACTACTCCAAATCAGTCAAAAAATCTAATTATTGTGACTTATTTGTTTCAAAAATAAAATAATGTGAGAAAATTACCAATGGGTAGAGAATAACATATGAAAATAAATACCGAATAAATTAATAAAACCATTCAGATGATGTGTTTGCAACATCAGATTCTGTTGTATAATCCAATTAGCAAAAAAGATTGTCATACGAAATGAATCAGAATTCAGTTAGCATGATCAAAAATGAATTATGAATATAAATACGGCCGAAAATGACTTTACTTTACTCTTTCAGCCTAGAAATTTTAATTATTCGTTTCAAAAAGTAAACAATGTGAGAAAATCAGCAATAGGTAGAGAATGACGTATAAAAAAAGACAACTAATAAATTAATAAAACCATTCAGACGATGTGTTTGCATCATCAGTTACTGTTGTATAATCCTTTTGGCAAAAAAAAATTGTCATGCGAAATGAATCACATTTTAGTTAACATGGTCAAAAATGAATTATGAATATAAATACGGCCAAAAGGGATTTTACTTTTCCCTTTCAGTCTATAAATATTAATTATTCGTTTCAAAAAGTAAACAATGTGAGAAAATCAGCAATAGGTAGAGAATGACGTATAAAAATAAACAACTAATAAATTAATAGAACCATTCAGATGATGTGTTTGCAACATCAGTTTTATAATCCTTTTGGCAAAAAAGATTGACATACGAACGGAATCAGAATTCGGTTAACATGGTCAAAAATGAATTATGAAAATAATTGTGACAAAAAAGTTTTGAAAATTAAATTTATTCACGAAAGTTAAATTTATTAAACGTAAATTTATTAATTTATTCACCTAAATTTGTTCTTCTGAGGATCCTCTTATAATGGTGGTTTAGTGTCGTGTCATGAACAGAAAATAATTTTAAATGTGATCAAAGGTCCTATATACAACATCCTTTGTATTGTTGATCGCCATTGATATTAAAATCTCTATCCATGAAAAAGGGTTGCCAGAGCCTCAGAAAAGGTTGGATTTCTGCCTGTTGGTCAGCGGAGAGTATTTCATTTCCTCTCTACTACCCATTGGAAGAATCCAATGGAGGCGTCCCTCTATCCGCCACCAGGGGACGCGCCCTATAAGGGTTTCAGGCTCCCCCAAGGCTCCCCTTCTGAAGATATTCTTATAATGATACGAGTATATATTGGACAAAAACAGCTTAGTTCTAATCAATCAGCAGCAAACATAAACTAAACAAAACTAAATTTGGTATAAGCAATTAAACATGCGGGAGGAAAATCAAACTTAAATATACCCTCTTCCATTCAAATCAAGTGAGAAAAAAAATTAAATCCCTTGAAAAAAAATAACGTAATTAGAATATAATAGATTACTTTTTGTTTAAGGAAGGAATTTTGTTTACGAAAAACCGCAAGATTAAGAAAAAAATGTTTAAGAAAAGCAACTTCACAGCATTTTATAAAAAAGCACAATTTGACGCTGATTTGAAGTTGCATCTGCTAATGTATTAGAGGATCATAAAAATAATCACTCACATAAAAAGTATTTCAAATAAAATAAACATATTTTAAGTAAAAATTAAATTTATAATTCCTATCATAATACAATTCTTACATATTAGATGGAATTAATTCATATTAAAGACATATCCTATGTATATTAACAATTTAATGTATGAATTAGTTATTTCATTTCACTTATTGTTGTTTACAGAACACGATGGATCCAAGAGGAAGAAAAAAACTAGAAAATTATCTTAAAAGTCACAAAAAGATTGATGGAAATTTAGACGCTCTTAACATTATCAATTTAAAAACGTCATGTGATAGTATCTTGCTTAAAGAGCATCCAGAGAGTTATTCATTTTTCTCAGAGTTAGAAGACAAAGCAAATTATTTAAAAAAGCACATTGACATTTATGATTTATCTGATCGTTACAAAGAGCCTTATGCAAACATTTCAAGTTATTCAAAAACCATACAAGATTTATCCACACACTTAGTTTGGCATTCTGAGAAAAACTTTTGTCGTTGCAGAAGAAAGTCTTTGGTTTCAGAGAATTCAAAAAACGAGCGAAATCGTGTACAAGATCTGATGAGACTTATGATGAAGAAAATAAATTTTTTGATAAACGAGAATCTTCTCTCTTTTTATATGATGCAAATACTTAAAGACTGTCATCAGCATGTCCGGAAAACAAGTTGTAATGATAATAGTTTGCTGGAGACTGGATTGAAAAAATTTATTAAAGTTACAACTCTAATACCACCCGTGCTTATGATTTTTTCCGATGACAAGAAAGGAGAGGATCAATTTCTTTTTATCTCTAAACTTTTAAATTTATGCTGTGATAAGAACATTGATGACAGTGAAATTGTTTTAGGAATCCTTTCAGTTCTTGCAAAAATTAAAGTTGAGAAAAATGTTCGGGAACTTAAGCATTCCCCAAAGTTTTTCAGCTACATTTTGCAGCACGTTCAAAGAGCAAAAGGGCATGATATTTTATTCACACAAGAGCATTCAAGAATTGCGTGGAAGTACTGCAGAAATTTTTCCATTATTGATGCCGTTGTTTGTGGAGACGAACAAAGATTAAAAAAATTAATGGAGTATGGATTTACTTTATTTCCTGCAGATGAAAAACTGAACAAAGATGGAGAATTTCCAGATTTGTAAGTTAAGTCTAATTAACAAGATTTTTTAATGATCTATTAAACTAGATTTTATTTTAATATTGCATATTTTTAACAGAAATCATGATTGAAAAAATTATCTTCTAGGGTTAAGATTCTGAGTGCTTATAGGGCAATACATTCTTTCCAAATTTGCTGGTGTAAAAATTTGTATTACATCCTTTCCAAATATGCTAAAGTAAAAGTTTGTATTAAGAGTCGGCATCGTGAGTTAACAACTAAGTTTATCATTATTTAGAACTATTGAAGTGAAAGTAGAGATTAACATTCTTTAATGTGTACTAAATTTACGTTCATTAAAATGTACTAAATTTGGCTTTCTTAACTCGCACTAAATTTGCATTCTTTAATGTGCCTTAAATTTACATTTCTTCATGTGCACTAAATTTACATTCCTTAATGAACATAATTAGCAATATAATTTACATTCCCAAATTTACATTTCTATTTATGTTCAAAATCATCAGAATATCGTACATACATTGTGTTTCTGGCTCTTTCGTGACACGAAAAAAATTCCGTAATTTTTATACTGAAGAGTTCTAGTAATGATTTTGGGGAAATTAACAATAAAATATCATTTCATAATTTGGGATAGAATTTGCTGAACTTTTTAAAATTTGCTATCTTAATCCTGATACCTTAAAACATAACTTAAAACATGGCATGTATTTGGTTAAATTTACTTTTTAGTTTTTTATTTTTTACTAATTGTCTGGTAATATTAACTTTGTTTTGAAAATCAGAATTATCGGTAAGCCGTTACCATATGAATAGAAAAAGTAATGGTTAAAACATTTTATATTTTGGTTTCATTATCAGAATTACGACTTTTTTTCCGGAAATGTCATTACCATACAATACGTCAATTTTACAGTAATTCTTTTCTCCTGAGCGAATCATATTTTCACACCTTTCAAAGCATATCAAATTTTGCTTATAAATTTTTATAACTCCTGTGCAAAATAAAGTATTTGAATATTTTCATATATTGAGAAACTCTTACCATAATTTTGTGACAAATGTTTTAGAGGTCATAGTTTCTATTATTTACTTTCAACCAGAAAGCCGTTTAATGTAATTGCAAAACTTAAAATTGCCAATAAAGCTAATCATTAAAATTTGAAACTTTAATGTGATGGTGCATTTTAAACAGGAGAAAATTAAAAGAAGAATTATTATTGATTGTATTGTTTCTGATATCCAATATTTTTTTATGAATTTTAATATTATTTTTATTTTATTATTTTAATGAATTTTATTATTATTGTTATTTCATTTCATTATTATGAATAATTATTTATTATGTCACACTTTAAATGATTGTTTTAATATTAAGACATTTAGGCAAGTTTACCTCAATCATTAAACTGGCAAAATTCAAAAATTATTCAATATAATGAATTAAAGATAAGAAATTCAGAAGATTAATTGCAAGAAAATTGCTTCAAATGAATGTTATTACAATTTAATAGAAAATAGCTTTTCCGAATTTTTTTTAAAAACTATAAATATAGGTTTCAATTATTAAATAATTAAAAAAAAATAATCAAAAATTGTAGAATTTTTTTAAATACATTGGAAATTAAAATATCTATTTAGATAATTAAGAAAAAATCTTAAAAACTTTTAATTCTTAAATTTTTAATACTCAGCTGCTAAATTTAAACATTAACGATTTGTTTGATATACCTAATGCAATGAAGAAAAGCATTCCCGCAACATCTCAATAAAGCTATAGAGTCATGGAAGATAAGGCTCCACATTTTCGTCACCAATGCCCTTATTGTAGCAATGTGGTCAGCACCGAGCACAAGCCACCTTTACTTCCCTGACAAGCTGGCACCCATCGATCTGAAACTGGGTGCATTTCAGCTCACCACTGGTGATAGAACCCCAGCTTTTATCAACGACAGCTTAGTGTCTTAACCACTGTGCCATCTCGGCTTTGTGCATGATAATTACCTTAGCATGAATTGATTTGTATTTCATAAAAATAAATTTTTTATTATTTGTTTATACGGAATTGAAATTCTGAATCTTGTCAGCCATAGGAATTACTCGAAAAGAAGCTCTTAAACATAAGATTTTTATGGCTAAAATTGCATTTAAGATCAAAACAGTTATATTTGTCACTTTGAATTGACTAAATATCATAGCCTAAGATCAAAATGAAATTCCACACTTGGAAAAATTCCAGTAAAATTACCGTACTAAAAGTACGACATTTTGATTCTGGGCATAAAAATCAAAATATACGGTCTTAAAACCGTTCATTTGGTATTTTTTCCGTTTATATGGTAATCATTTACCAGAAATTCTGCTTTCTAAAACTTCAGTATTTATTTCCACACATTTAATAAAATGAACAAAACTGAAAAAAATTTTACCGGAATGAATGTTTTTTTTTCTCATGATCTTGGGTAGAAAAAAGTACCAAATTTTACCACATTTACCAAATTTTATCACATAATGCAGAGCGATATTTTTTGTTAATTTTATCAAATAATTACCAACTCACATTGGTGCAGAGTTTTTTTTTTTTTTTTTTAGTTTCTATGGAACCAGAAACGCAGTAAATTTTACCACATTCTGATAATCTTGATCGTACTTTTCTTAGCAGTGCGAATATTTAGATAGATTTTTCAATGTATTAAAAATGCAGAAGTATGCAAAAATGCATTACAGAAGTAGCCGTTAACTAGTATTTAAACGTGGAGAAAAGAAAAACTAAAATCTGTCAAAAAGGGACGAGGGATAAAAACATTAAATCCTGTTTGATAGCCGGAAGAATAAGAAAAGAGTTAAGAGTTGTATGAAAAATAAAAACACCTCCAAGTTTCATCAGTTTCTAGTCCTGCCTTTTTTAATTGCAGTTCAATATATTTCAATTGGTTTTTTCGTTTTTCCTGACTTTCATATTAATTGTAATCCTAATGCATATTCTTTTTTCCCTTTTTTTTTTTTGACTAAGATTCCAAAAATCTATTTACAGAATGGTGATTACGCTGCTCACTGAAAATATTTCGACACAATTTTAAACTGTGGATGGTGTTTTCTACACTAGGGAACGCTGCAAGCTCGGTACCGCCTAAATTTCCGGGTTACTGTTTCCGTTGTATTTTAAAGCTGTTTGGCATCATTGTGTTTTGAGATTCTTGCAAACAATGTATTTGATTACTTTATTACTTGTGTTTACAATGCTAACAATACTGGTGTTTACAATGCTAAAAGTGTTAACACTAACGTAAGATGGTGCACAGCTTGCAGCAAGAACAAACAGTAATAAACTTGCGGAAAGAGGCCATATCACGACTGGCAAAAAAGCGAGTTATTTAAAATCTAGCAACCATGTCACCTTTTTTAACAATATATCTCTAAAAAACTAAAACAAATTTCCACTTCAAACTCAAAAGAATTACATATTAACATTAATATCTTATGAAATATGGCAGATTTGAGCTCAGAAATTATCTAATTTATTTCTTTTATTGAAAACAAAATTATCCGTTTGAAAACATCGCCTATCAGAATAACATGTAGTAAGCAGCTGCAAACTTTTTAACCGGAACTAGAGTAGGTGCCGAGCTCGAGATTGTTATTGTTTACATTTCTATTGAAAACACCATCCATATATTGTTTCTTAACAATCTCTGTTTTTTTTTAAACTTCTATTTTAATTGGAAATGCAAAACAATCGAAAAAATTTCCGTTTATTCAAATATATAAATTTTCTTAGCAAAAGTTATTTTTATTCAAATAATATTATAAAATTGAAAAAAACCGTTTAAGTATTATTTCTTAAATGTTTTTGAAATTTCTGAAAAAAACTAACAATTATTATTTAAAGAAACAGGCTGATTTCATAATAATCGACGCATTTTTTAGTATTAAAATATTAATTTTATAAAAACTATTGATAAATTATCTCAGTATTTGTAAAAGTTTGAAAACCTTTGAATTTTTTTTTCAGATCCCAGGTGATGCCAATGGAGCATAGATTAATCTTAGAAATGCTGAAGAACATTCAACTTTACAATTTTGGAATCTCAAATTCTGATGTATATCTTACAACGAGTCAAAAGACATGTTTTCTTATTGTGTTACATGAATCAACTAATTCTTTTGTTACCGAAAAGGAATTGGAAGAATCTCTTAGAGGTGAATATGAGTACAATAGGTTGCATAATTTATCGAAACTTAAGTGCAAGAAAATATTTGAAAGAAATAAAAATTTAATCAAATTTTATGTTGAAAACTTTAGTCACCCTGCTCAATCCAAATATATATTCAAGCATTTTCTATCGTTGCCTTACGATGTAAAACAACATAAAGGTAAGAAGGTAATTTTTTGCATGTGATATGCCATATGTTAAAGTACCTGTTTTGCTTTGTGTTGATTTCCTTTAGCTTTGGTGTGGTTAATGCTTTTGCTTAGCTTTGGTTTAGTTCATGCTTTGGTTTAGGTCATGCTTTGGTTTAGGTAATGCTTTGGTTCAGGTAATGCTTCGGTTAGGTAATACTTTGGTTTAGGTAATGCTTTGGTTTAGGAAATGCTTTGGTTTAGGTAATGCTTTGGTTTAGGTAATGCTTTAGTTGGTGAATGGTTTGGTTCTGTTTTTTTTTCTTTTTTTTTCTACGCTTTGATTTGCTTTTTTAGTGTGTGTTTATCCTTTCCTTGATTTTGAATTTCTGTCTTAATGCTGTTTTGTATGTATTTATAATGATTGCTAGCATGATTTGATATTTTGTACTTGTTTGCAAGCCAAAAAATATTTCAAATAAATATTTTTAAAAGTTAAGTTTCTCTTATTTCATTTACTTTTCATTTATTCATGTTTTAACAATAACTGATTATGCCAGTATTTAAATAGGAAAACAATCGAGATTTTTTAGAGCTGAAAAGTGGAAAAATAATTTGTTGTAAGTAATAAATTTTCTTATAGTTTGTCTAAAGTAAGAACTCCCCTAGCCATTCGTCTGTACCCATGGCGGTGACTATAATAACGAAGTCTAACTATTTCACGTAGGGGTGTAGGCTTGTTGTTTAGGACAGGTTTTAGCTCGGATCGGCAAGGGAAAGGGGATATTTTCCTTTAATCTATTGTGTTAGCCCTAGAGTAAAAAGAAACTAACCTAACTGAAATGCGTTATTCCTGTTTCCATAGCAGTAGATGGCCTCAGACTTAGTGGCAAGGGGAGTTTTTACAGTAGACAAACTATATCCTTGAATAGTTTTCCTTTACGGAAAAATCTTCCTTTATGATAAGGATGCAGCTGTCAGTAGAACACCGAAGTCAAGCATCACTGGCTGTGGTCAGTAAACGGATGGGTGACCACTTTGATCATTCTGCATAGGAAGCGTGCTATCGATCCTCGTTAAACTGTTCTACCTTTCTGTGCTCGACTTCGCACACAAGCCGGTGGTACACAGATCATAGATTAGAATCCCCTAGCCGTTAAGCTAACCATGGGAGGTTTTCTTGGTTTTCCTCTCCATGTAATACAAATACGGGTTAGTCCCATCAAACAAGGCTTCCACGAAGGCAAATTTCTTCCATTACTTGATCCAGAAATTCTCTTGTCTTCTGCATTGGGTGCAAAATTACAAGGCTATGGAGTTGAACATTAGTAGTCGTAAACTCAAAATTGGGGTCGGCTGTTCAACGGCGGTTATAAAATAAAATATTCAACCAAAACAGAAAAACAATTTAAAGTAGTTAGGAATACGCTGTACATAGGGAGAAACATTTCATCGCGAACTCTATTTCACTTTCCACTACTTATTTAAAATTTAAAGCAAAAAAAGTGAGTTCAGAAAGTCAAAAAGTTTCAATTGCTGATAATTTTTTTTTTAAATTATCAAAATGCAATTATTGGAAGAGAACTCCTTCATTGCGTATTCCGAAGTTTTAACCTCATAATTTCTTTTCATTTCAATATTTTGAAGATGTCTTTTCAGTATTGGACACTTCATCTCTTGTTCTAGGTTTGCCTAAACTCAATTTTTGCATTCATATAATTTTAAATTAATTATGGAAGTGAAGGAGAATTTATGATAAAGTGATCCACCTGCGGTATAGCGTTCTCCTAAATTTAAAAAGTCGTTTATCGATTGTTTTCTTCTAATAGGATGATTCAAGGGATGATTAAACGACCATAATTTTATTCGCGCCAACTAGGCACCCAGCCAATGAGAATCGAGCGCTATCAATGAGTATCGTTAACTGGAAGTTAAACCATGTAATAAGGATTATAAAATAATATTTTTCTTTTCTATCACCAAATGTCAAATACTAAAGCAGATGCCTGATAATCTTACAGTAATAAGTGTCTGATGAACACCTTATTAAGCCAATTTGTTTCTTGCAGCTGGTTAGATACTTTACTGAGTTAGAAAAACATGATGCAACAAATGAGACTATTATATGATTCGAGCAACTTATAAATTCTTTTGAAATTTTGAAGACTAATGAATGCTGAAAAAATAATAACAAAAAAGCTTTCTATGTTTCATTTTTGAAGTAGAATTTAAATTAAAATGCGCATCTTACTTTTATTGATCCTGCGTTTCTCTGAATCGTTCTTACCAAAATAGATAAATCGTGTTAAATTACGTTACCTTAAGTTAGTAAATGTGCTTTTGTACTAAGGAAAAAAAGGTCTCATTTTAGAGTGACAATAAATTTAATAATTTTCATAGTATTTTTTCATATCTTTATTAAAAGCGTTTAAATTGAATTTAAAAAATTGTGAAATAAATAGACCAATTGTTGAGTTACAGAATCGAATAATCTAAAGTTGTTATAAAATTATGATAAAAAAGTTACGCGATGGATAAGTCATGAAATTAGTGAAGCATAGCATAAAAGGATAAGTATATAGCAAAATAAAGTGATAAAATTATCTAGGAAACAAATAAAAAGCAGATGAATAATTTCAGATGTGCACAAATAACAGTGATAGAAGCAAGAGTATAGGAAAATATCGGACAAATTTTTCCTTGAAAAATTTAAGATACGTTAAAAAAGTTTAGCCGTCACAATTTATGTTGTAATAAATGGGATTTAAAGCTATATAAAAAATAAATTAACTATGCGAAAATAGTAGTGAATATGTCATAGATTTATTTCTCATCTACAATCCAAATTTTATCCAGATCCAGATTCCAGATTTATCTACAATCCAGATTCCATCTCAATCCAAATTTTTTTCATTTTTTTAAAGACTCTCTTATGAAGAAAATATTTTCAAACAAATGTTTAGTAAAAATATGTAATTCTTTTTTTCTTTTTTAAAGATATTGTGAGCATTTTGAGGGAAGATACATATTTTTTCTAAAATAGAAATAATTGAAAAACCTGGTAAAAATGAAGGAAATAAAAAGAATAATTTTTCAAACTGTGTAAGGAAAATTTGATACCTTTTTTATAAAAATATGAACATTTAATAATGTGATTATTTATATAGGTGGTAGTTTTTTTTAACTTAGTTTGTTAATTAAGGTATTAAAAAGAAATTGATTATTCTGAAGATATAAATATTTTATTACTCCAAATTTTCATTTAATTTACAGAAATAGTTTCGATTTAAAAATTTATTTTAACCGAAATATTTATGTAATTAACTTAAATAATTGCGTGTATGTATTGTCATACCCTCCAACTTATGAGGATTTTGAAAATAATTCTTTCTAGTGGTAGCGAACCAAAGTAGAAATTTTTAAAGCAAATGGATCTCTCATAAAACTTTTATCAGAACTTAAGAATCTAGCCATATGGCCTGCACTTTTATAAGTAATAGCGGACAAGTTACGCTAAAATTAATTTTTTTTAAATATTAAGACATTAATTTTGCTACCGTCTGAAAAGAAGATTTCTGAAACTACGGAAATTCCGTAGCAGTTGGAGGGTATGTATTGTCGTTATATGATATTTCAGCAAATTTTTCCACCTCATTCTTTATTGAAGGACGAAGTATTTTCTCCAACATTATTGAAATTATTCCAATCTTAAACGAGAATAAAATCTTCACTTAAATCAATAAACAACTTTTTAAAAAAACAATGAGTGCGAAGATTTGTTTTTTTGCTAGTGCTGTATTAAGGCGAGCATAGGGTTGCCTTTCAGTGAGGATTACTAGATAAGGCGATGAAACAGTTATCGAATAAAACAGTGGTGAGTGGAGGTGCCCGGGAGTCGATATTACGGAAAATCACACCTGGGCCAACTAGGCCCTTCTCCTTTTTTTAAGAAGACATTTTGTTCCATGCAGCTGGGTACATACTGGTCTTCTTCCTAATCCCCCAAATTAGCAGGGCTAAACAATGTCCATGAAATTCATGACCCGGAGGAAGTCGGTCACCAAAAGTGGGTTTTCTAGAATGTCCCTCTTGTCCAGTCCAAGACAGTCCAGGATATGTTGGGGAGAAGCCTGCATGTTGTGGCACCTGGGCAGTTTGGGAAGATTTTAACACTACCCTCAGAAGAAAGAGACTTAAGGTGGCCGCTAGTAAGCCTGGTAAGAGCCGTCTGATCCTTGTGGTTGCACCGAATGTTGAGTGCACCTCCTGGACAGGTGTTCTGGCACCAGTGATGTTTGGGGGGTACGAGCCAGGAAACATTGTCTTCTTTTTTCCTTTTCGATGCCAGTTCCATGAAGGTCAGTGAATTTGGACTCATCAAAGTTTCTTCTGTCCCCTCCTTAGCCAGAGTGTTGGAGATATCATTGCCCAGATCCCCAACGTGAGAAGGGATCCACTGGAGGTGGACTTCACGCAGTCGAGAGAGGATTATAAATTTGTGCAGGATTGAAGCTCCTGTTTTGTCTCTCACCTTCCTCCAATGCGATAAGTACTGTATGGAACTGAGACTGTCAGAAAGTATCCAGATATTATTGTGATCCTGTATTGTTAGAAGAGAATCCAGGGCAGTAGTACATACTGTTACTGGGTATACATACTGTATCTGAGAGGGCTAATCAGTCACTCTCTTGACCAGCAGAACAAGGGCTCAAATCAAATCCCAGTGTTAAAACCACAATATTTCGCCTGCAATACTTGAAAAGATTTTAGTGTCTTGCACTCTTCAATCGGCGATCCTAAAACATTAGAATACGAAACGATCAATCACGCATGAATGGCGTAGCAATCACCGAATAGTTTCATATTCACGGATTTTTAACTGTATCAGCTGTAAACGGTTTCGCAAAAATAAAAGTAAAGAAATGCTCCGTACTCTAAAATTTACGGTTAGCTGGATGGACAGACTGCTGCCTGTGATTTCAAAACCGTTCAGAATGAAAATTCTAACAGTGTAGCTGATATTTGTCAATATCATGATCAGCTGAACTGGGTTTCGCTTCAAATGAGTAATTATACAGTTTGAATTGCATGTGTATATTAAACACGCTTAGGAATACTTTGAAATTAGATTTTTTCTTATCTATATTACTAATGTAAAATTGGAATTTATGGATTTAAATACTCTTTTTGGAATTTTTTGGAGCTTCTTTTAAACTTTTGTTTCACAAAAAGTTTATTAGTACTTTTTGAGCTGTATAGAGTAATTACAAATCAAATTAATTAGTTTAAACTAATACTAATGGAACTTCTGCTAACAAAAAGGTTTTCATTTGATTTTTTCCCAAAATCTAGCGAACAGTAGTTAAATTGTATTATTAAACGTTTGAATCGTTGGAATTGTGTATCCCAGAACGTATGCACAAATAACTTGGAATTAATGACAAATTTGGATGGGATAGGCACTACATGATAAAAAACTTCATTCGTTTCAAAAATATATAAATTAGTATTAAGAGTTAGTAAGCTCTCAGATATAGGCGTCCGTTTTCATGATTTGCCGGAAGTAAATGAGAATTCGAAGAATAAAATGTAAAGTTGTCAATAAAAAATGGAAAAATAAAATGAGAAATTAAACTAAAAGAACCTCAGTGGTCGAAAGGAGCAAATTTAATTGTAGAAAGCAAAAAAGGTTTACTCCTAAACTGAAAACTTTGTGCTTGCAATAGAGTAAAACCTTTTAGATAGTTGTTTTAGATAGTTGTTTTGGATTATAGATTTTGTCATTTTATAATATTTCCTTGATTTAAGCTGTTATAAATAGTATTTGCTTCAGACAATTGCGGAGGTCAAAATAAAAAATTTGCCCCTCAAGATTCTTGTTAGATCTTACTGATTTGGATTGACATGCAGAAATAGCAATGTTTCCTGTGTTTAGCCACTAATATCTGCATTAAGAACTTTGAAATATTTAAAAAGACTCTCAAGACTCGTGATGAAATTTTGATCTATAAAAGATGTTGCTGATTTGATAGAGGCTTCAGACAAAGAAAGTAGGATATATATATATATATA